CTGGGGACCAGAATTTGAGGCTTAATCGCGCCCCAGGGTAACTCAAAATAAACCCTCGTGCGTGGCCAGCCACGGGGCTTGCGTGGAGCCGCTTGATCCCCGGCCTTTTGTCCTGGATGTGAGCAGGGAAGGGACAGAGCCGTTTTTTTTTTTTTTAGACCGGGCCCAGCTCTGGCTTAACTTCACCCTGCGAGGGTTTGGCTACGTCCTCCTCCATCGATGTTTCCCTATAGGCTGACGAACAAAGCCAGCTTCGGGATTCCGGAGCTTATCTATAGCTGTCGGCGTAGCTATATCTAGCGGCCATATGTGCCCAGATATTCCCGCTGCGGCGGGCGCTGGGTGATGTTTCGCTGGCTTTGAAGCCGCCCCGGCAGCGGAGAGCAATATCCCCTTACACATTCTCCTCCAGAAATAGCTTGGGCTGAGCCTCCCAGCCCGCGCCGGCCAAAAAAAAACCCCCACCATCCCTAGCTCCTGGGGGCATCTTCCCTGGGAATGCTGGTCTCCCCCAGCCACGCTCCTCCTCTTCCTCCTGGCAGAGGAGGTGCAGGAGAGACACGACGGCCACCGATATCTAAAATTCAGGCTGCCGTGGGAAAGCGCTGGGAGGTTGAGTTGAGGTTGAGGTTGGTTTGAGGTTGACGTTGAGTTGAGGAAGTTGAGGTTGGGTTGAGGAAGTTGAGGTTGGGCGGAGATTGACATTGGGTTGAGGTTGGGTTGAGGAAGTTGAGTTGAGATTGAGGCTGGGTTGAAGGAGGTTGAGGTTGGGTTGAGGTTGAAGTTGGATTGAAGGAGATTGAGGTTGGGTTGAAGGAGATTGAGGTTGGGTTGAGGAGGTTGAGATTGGGTTGAGGTTGGGTCGAAGGAGGTTGAGGTTGGGTTGAGGTTGAAGTTGGATTGAAGGAGATTGAGATTGGGTTGAGGTTGGGTTGAAGGAGGTTGAGGTTGGGTTGAGGTTGAAGTTGGATTGAAGGAGATTGAGGTGAGGTTGTGTTGAGGAGGTTGAGATTGGGTTGAGGTTGGGGTTGGGTTGGGTGCTGGTGACCGTGGGACATCCCCCGCCTGAGCTGACCCGGGGTGGCTGCCTCTTCTCTTCTCTTCTCCTGCCCAGATGACCCTGACCCTGACGACGGATTTAATTATAAACAAATGATGGTGCGAGATGAACGGCGCTTCAAGATGGCTGACAAGGATGGAGACTTGACTGCCACCAAGGAAGAGTTCACCGCCTTTCTGCACCCCGAAGAGTACGACTACATGAAAGACATCGTTGTGCAGGTGGGGGGCCACCGCTGGG